AAACGATAATACCAATAATCAAAATAACAAGAGCAACAAAATTGTTTGTTTTTTATCCATTAAAACTTTATGCATTTCAATTAATAAAATCATACATAATAAATTACACAAACTATAAATTAATAACAATTGGTATTAAATTTAATATTAATTTTTTAATTACTTTATATGATTAATTATAATATATAATTATTTTTTATATGATATATTATATATTAAATATAAAATAATAATAGTACATTAATTTTAATTTTATGAATATTATTTTTATGATTCATTAATGAATAATTTTTTTTAAAACTAGTATTTAAATTAGTTATTATTATTGTGAAGTTAATAATATACAAAAATTTGATAAATATTTAACATTTATACCCATATTGTTTTCGATCTTATTATATAATAGTTTCGTATTATTATTTTTTTGTGAAAAATAAAAACAAACAAACAATTAAAATGAAAATTTATAATAACATAGAGGGAGCCTTAAACAGAGACTATACTGAAGTATATGAATTCTGCAATAAAACAGACATTCAGCACATTTATGGTCTTGATAAAGTTACAAAAATTAAAACTCGAAGTTTCTATAATTGTTGTTCTCTTCAAGAATTGGTGATCAACGAAAATGCAACAATCGAAAGTGATTTTTTCGGAAATTGCACATCACTGACTCGATTGGTTCTCCCCAATGACAACATGAAAGTGAGATTTGTACCAACAATAGAAGAAATTGGTATTTTAGATAAATTCCATTACAAATACGACAAAGTGCTTTGTGTCTTTTTACGAACAGACGGCCCCTCTAAATTAGAAGAAATAAAAAATTTGAATTATCCAGTCAAATTGATTAATTTGTTTCCAAAAAACTGACGGATTAAAAACACTGAAAATCTCTTCAAATGTACAAGCAATTGATAGCTCTTTTTCTCTTCGAGTGAATATGAATATATTGACTTGGGAAATGTCAGTGAAATTGGGGAAAACCTGTTTGGACCAAATTTGATATCTGTGACAATCCCAACAACTCTGACAAGTATAGGAGATGACATTTTTAAAGAATGTGACAACCTTAAAAATGTTGATTTGTGTAATAAACAAACTTTTGATGGGTCTGTGAGTGTTGATAAAACGCGACTATTTAAACGATTACACATTCAATGTACCAAAGTAAATGTCTCTATTGACCAACTCGATTTATTTAAAAATGTCAAAGATATCAATTTGGTACTTGTGAAAAATAAGACCAAATTACAGCACATTACTTACTTAAATATCCCAAATAACGTGGTTTCTATTTCTGAAAATTGTTTTGAAGAATTTTATAATTTACAAGAAGTTGTACTTTCAACAAATTTGACATCAATCGGAAGTTTTGCTTTTAAAAATTGCATTTCCCTTCACAGAATACAATTTCCAGACAGTTTGAAAGTTATCAAAGAATACGCATTTCTGTATTGTGGATTGACACAAATAACAATTCCAACAAGTGTCACTGCAATTGAAAATAATGCCTTTGAATGGTGTTTTGCATTAAAACGTGTTGTTGTTCCAAAAACAGTTTTAGAACACAAAAATGTATTTTTTGAGTGTTTTTCACTGGAACATGTCCAATTTATTGAAAACAGTCAAAAAAGCACAAAAGTTAATACAACTTTTATTTATTGTAAATCACTCAAAGAAATCATTATACCAAATGACATAACAAAAATAGAAAACAATACATTTTCTTCATGTTTATCTGTTACTAAAATCTCAATTGGAAGTTCTGTTGAAAAAATAGGACACCACTGTTTTGATAGGTGTGAAAATCTTGAAGAAATCGAAATTCCACAATCAGTGACTTTTATTGATGATTTCGCATTTTACAGGTGCCGCAAATTACGAAGTGTGAAATTCAACAACAGTCAAATAGAACTTTCACCCACCGTTTTTGAATGCTGTAATAATTTAAAAGATGTGTTTGTGAATGGACTAATCTCAAAGAAATGAAATTTCCTGTTTCATATAGTGCGTTTCTGATGCTAAATAACAATAAAATGAAATGTACAAATATACACTTTGTATCAACTGATATTGAACACCACTTGAAAATAATCAAACAAGATGGAAAAACAATCGGAGAAGTGCCCGACGGTGTCGTACTACTCGATAAACAATGTTTTAGAAATTTCAAAAAAGTTGATATTATCAAAGTGCCAAAAAGTGTGAAAAAAGTTGATTATTTTTGTTTCTATGAATCTATAAAAAGAGGGAGGGTGATGTTTGAAGATATAGAAAACGTAGAAATTAGTGGGTTGGCATTTTAATTAAAAAATGAAGTTATTATTTGGTTGATATTTTTACTATAATTCAAAGGTTTTTCAAGTTTTTTAATATTTTTCTTGTTTATGATTACACTGTTTTTATTATGCTATACTTAACTTTGACTTCATAATAATTTCACATATTTTAATAGTGAAATAAATTAAAATTAATAATAAATCACAGTAAACATAAAATTCAATTTAAAATTGTGTATTTTACAATTTAAAACAATGTGAAATTATTTACTTGAATATTTATATAAATTTAAATCATATGCAATTATATTAAACTCGATTCAAGGTAATTAAAACACGTTTTTACATTTTTATCATAATAGAATATATATATTTGTATTGTTAATTCGACAGTTTAATTTAATAATAAACTACACAACATCCATAATTACATTTTTTTCAAAACTTATCAAAATAAAAATGACTGATGATAGTAGTATTGATGGTCCAAATAAAACAAAATCATCAAAAGCGTGTTATTGTTGTTTGGAATTTTTATGTCCACCAATTGCAGTATATAATATGGCCGAAGAATGCAACAATGAAGTTGTTTTGTCTGTATTATTTACATATTTT